TTTTACGTCATGTTTTAAATAGTTTTACAAAGCTTTATATATATTGCATGTGTCTTATTGCTTTATATATTGAGTTCAGTTATTCATGAGTCGTACAGAGTCAAGGTAAGAGTTCATTTGTATTCCTTTCAAGCTTAAGTTGTGGTTTAGCTTTCCAGCTCACATACTCGTACATTCTATGTACTGATGCTAGTTGGCCTGCATCGTCTTATGATGCAGACACAGGTACCCAGGATCAGCATCCAGTACGTCGTTGATCCAGTTGAGCACTCCAGAGTCAGTGGTGAGCCTCTTTGCATCCGGAGGACTCGGTTATTTCGTTCTCTTTGTTTTGTTTTATTAGGGTGTTGTGGGGTCTGTCCCAACATCCATCTCAATATTTTAGAAGCTTCATAGACAGTCAGTCAGTTAGTTTTAAGTCTCTCATCCATGTAGTGTGAGATTCTATCATTTTCTTCAATTTACGACTTCTCTTACTCTGGAATTTGTTGGCTTTTGTGTGTTTGATTAATATGCAGAAGATGCATAAACACAAGTGCCAATAGTAGATACTAAATCACCATAAAACAACATAGTTGTTGATCAAAACAAGGACATAAACTTTGTTTAGGTTGTTGTGAACATCATGTGCTCTACAGTTTTCTCTGTTTAATAGCAGAAACTTGATAACATTAAGGTTTAAAGTTTTTATTAATTCCTTTAATTGCTGGTAGCAATATATGTATCTGTGCACCAGAATATGTATTTGAATTTGCGCCTTCCAATTTGGGGCACGTAAAATACTTCCTACTAAAGGGAACTTACTTGAACTCGAAACATCTGATTAAAGAAAGCGAGAACTTCTACTTATCATTTCATCAAAATCTTTGGTGATAAGATCTCCCCTTCTTTGCCAAAGACAACTTACTCGAACACGAGACATCTGGTTAAAGAACGAGAACTTAACATTCAACTACTACCTTTGCTGATAAGGCCTACGGGCCCCTTCTACTAGTACCTTCATCTTCTTCTTTCATTTGTTCTGGAGAGTAGTACAATAATTATGTTGATGGAACCAAGTCATAGTATTGCCCCGTGAGTCAACACTTGATCAACTAATTCTACACGGTACTTTTTATCTTCCACAAGCATAGGTATCATATAACTTTGGCTATCAATGTTTGAATATATGAAAAGAAATCACCTAATTAATTTCTTTTGTTCAAAGAAATTTAAACCTAATACTTCAGTATTTTCAACTCACTTCAATAACCATAAACTTTTCTACATTGACAATGTAAAAAAACTTTTACACCTTAAAATAACTTGTAACTAAATCTAGTAGCATTGATTTATACTTGCTAGTAAAATACACTGATAATATATTTTAAAACATATATTATATAAGTTTGTGGTTGTATATATTAGGTATCCATCTTTAGAGATTTGTCTTACATAGTTGCCAACTTAATTATTAAA